TTTGGAGTGGTTGGCCAGTGGGGTACTACAGACCCCCAAACATTACGGGCTATTTCCAATGCTCCTGTTACCCACCTGCATCAGGCTACATTTGTGCCCATCTCCGAACAATAGATTGCTCTGCTTCTACCAACAATCAAACTTAGACACTTTTTTAAATTCTTATCTATTTTTATTTTATGTGTATGAGTATTTTTCCCTGCATATATATAAGTGCACTAGATTGTGCACTGCCGGTGGGTACCGGAACAGGGCATTGGAACTGGAGGTTAAGAATGGTTGTTAGCTTCCATGTGGGTGCTGGGATTTGAACCCAGGTCCTCTGGAAGAGCAGTCAGCGCTCTTAACTGCTGAGCCATCTCTCCAGTCCCAACAGTTTCTTTTTTATGTATATAATTAAAACGTTGTTTTTGATTTATTTTATGTGTATGAATGTTTCACCTGCATGTTTGTATGTGCTACCACATGTACACCTAGTGCCTGAAGAAGACAGAAGACAGCACTGGATCCCCTGGAACTGAAGTTACAGAAAGTTTTAAGGGGCGTAGTAAGAACGGTTCTCTGTTTTGACTGATAGATTAGGTCATGTAGTTATTTTTCTACTGACCTGCCCTTTCCTATAATACATCTGACTTTAATTGTATATACATCTATTATACATAGGCATAATATAGAAAATAAGGGATGCTCCCTAAAAGTTTCCTTAAAGGACACTGCTTGCCTTACTGCAAGAGCACCCAAAACCAGTTCCCAATGGATGCTGGGAACTAAGCATGGTTCTCTCCAAGAGCAAAGTACTCTTAAACCTCAGAGCCATCTCTATTCAAATGTACTTACACTGTATCCTGTAAGAATAGAAGGGAGGATCCAGCCTGAACTGGAGGCAAGAGGAATAGAAGTTCAAGGTCATCCTTGGATATATATCCAAGTTTGAAGCCAGCCTGGGCTGAAAACAGTAGAGATTTAAAGCAACATTAGGATAAGTATATCATTAATTCATTATCAACAAGGCTTCAGACCAAGACTAACCATTTTTCTAATGGTATGAATAGTAAATCACTTTAAGGACACACTGGTTGAGCAACTATGGAGGGAAAGGAGGTTGTGATAGGAGTACTTTTTGTTTTGTTTTTTGAAATACGGTCTTAATGTAGCCCAGGCTGGCCTTTAACTTAACTCACTCTGTAGATGAGTGACCTAGAACTCCTGATCCTCCTGCCTCCACTCTCAAATGCTAGGATACAGGCACGGGCCACCATACCCAGGTTAGGTGTATTGTTTTGTGGTGTTGTTAAAGGAGTGAAGAAGCAGAACATTATATTTCACAGCACAGGTGAGCAGTTTTAAAGTGCTGATCTGCTCCAGCATATCTTCAATGGCTATTATGATCATTGCTACTACTATTATACTAACTAGTACCTGTGACTCTGGCTGTGCCATCAACCAAGTGTCCTCAATACACCATGAATTCTCATGCTTGTGGGAAGTTTGAGAGATATATTTGAATGGTACTACCTTAAAATATTCTGATTATTATTACAATCGCCTACCCTTATACATGTCTCTTTCCAAATATAGCTTATGCAAGAAGCTATTGTGGATGTCATTTATATTTAATTTAAAAAAAAATCAACCTATGATTAATTTTTAAGTTTTGTTTTGTTTTCTTTTGTTTTTTTAAATACCAGATTAATTTGAAAAGCAGTACTACCTAAAAACACAAGGACTAGGTACAAGTGGCAATCTGGAAGGATACTAAAGATCAATTTTTTCATTTATCTTTATTTATGGTTTTTGAGGCTGGGCTTGAACTCCCAATCCTCTTGCCTCCATCTCCCATGTACCAGGATTACAGGTACAAATTACTCACTCTGGAGGTCATTCGTGCCTTGGGAATATAAAAATATTTTATTATAATACTATGAAGTATGAATCTCTAAAAAAAAATCCCCACTGAATTTGGAATATATTTGTTATACAAACCATAAGCAGTCTCAAATATTTTTAATGTCCATGTATATTAAAACAACATAGCTAGTTCATTTGATTACTAAAAAATTATAGGGTAAGAATGCATTGAAATCTCTTTTTAAGATTTCAATACTGGGGCTGGAGAGATGGCTCAGTGGTTAAGAGTGCTGGTTGCTCTTACAGAAGACCCAGGCTCGAATCCCAGCACCCACATGGTAGCTAACAACTATCCCTAACTCCAGTTCCAAGGGATCTGAAGCACTCTTCTGGCTTATACAGGCACTGTATAACATGGGTACACTTATATACATGCAGGCATAACGTTCATACACATAAAATAAAAAAAAGTAGGGGCTGGAGAGATGGCTCAGCAGTTAAGAGCACTGACTGCTCTTGCAGAGGACCCGGGTTTGATTCCCAGCACCCACATGGCGGCTACGAACCATCCTTAATTCCAGTTCCAGGGGAAACCAAAGCCCTCTTCTGACTTCCGCTGCATTGCACAACACGGGTGCACTCACATACATGCAGGCAATCTTAACCCCTGAATCATCTCTCTAGTCCCTAAAAATTATCTTTTAAATTGTGCTGGGGTGTAGACCATGTATGAGGTGCAGGCAATACACTCATATACATAAAATAATTTAAAATTTTTTTAAAAAAAATAAATAATAAAAAAAGATTTCAGTACTGAGGGACTGGAGACATGGCTTAGTGGTTAAGAGCACTGGCTGCTATTCCAGAGGACCAGGGTTCGAGTCCCAGCACCCACATAGTGGCCAACAACCTAATGCCATCTGTAACTCTAGTTCCAGGGGATCCGATGCCCTCCACGGTTTTGCGTGCACAGGCGCCCTTACATACATGCAGGCAAAGCACTCATACACAAGGACTGTTAACTGTTTATGGAACATAAAAGATGCAGCAAACTAAGTGAGCTTTTCCACAGCAATACACAACTCATTCTATGAAAACTACCAAAGAGCTACATGTGTACAGATGAACACCAAAGACATGAATCAGGAATAGCTGAAAATACACATAAACAACAATAAAATTTTAAAAAATCAAATTTTCTCTCTTCCCTCACCATTTTCTAAGACCTGAATCAGGAGTTTCACTACACTGAAAAAACACACACTGTGACATGCTAGCATTTCTTATTTGGAGAAATAATGCTACTTCCTACAACTAGGGCATGGATGTAGAATATGTAAGTATAGTTCTGAAAAAAAATGCACAAGTTATTATATGTATAATCTATCACAGAAATGTCTATTTAAAAAACTTAAAGACTTTTTAAAAAACTGAGCAGTATCTCCTATTCATTGAACAATTCCTTTTTTCAAAATCGATTTTATAGCTGATATCCAAAAGTACTACTGGTTAGCTTCCTAGGTCATTTGAAAAACAAGTTAGAGGGTCTGGAGAGATGGCTTAGCAGTTAAGAGCATTGGCTACTCTTGCAGAGGACTTGGGCTCCATTCCCAGCACCCATATGGCTAACTACAGTCCACAACTCCAGCAGATCCAGTTCCAGGAGATCTGACGCCCTCTTCTGACCTCTGTGGGCATTGCACAACATGGGTGCACTTACATGCAGGCAATACACACATACACGTAAAAATAAAAACAATAAGCAAAATATTTTAAAAATAATAATTAAAAAACAAGTTAGAAATAAAGCCAGTTATCTTCAGTAGATACATAAAGATGTAAGTGGTATGAAATTTCTCATGTGGAAAAAGCTCCTCTTGATCTTTGTTCTTTAAAGCTAAGTACTGTTTTCAAAAACCAACAAATATGATTTCACTACCGGAAAAATGAACTTCTTGAAATTATCAGCAGTCAAAAAAAAAATCAAGAGATACTCTCACCAAATGACTACTATAATGGCACTTTCATTCCAATCTTTTCAAAAAAGGAGCCACAAAATCCTGGATATGTAAATTGATCAGTAACACCATGCTTTTTGTGGTTAACTAATATGAAAGAATGTTGACCACTAGGCAAAGACAGGAAGCAAATCTGAAACACATTAATTTAGACAAAATGGACTCTTTTTATTAAAGCTAATAGCAATGATGAGTTCTTAAGAAAGCTAAGGTACAAAAGAACTTCGCACATCACAGGAGTATCTCATTTTTATCAACTTTAAAATGAAAGATGGTTCTCTATTTAAATCGTCTGTTTAGAAAGTGCTTTCCATATAATGCTAATATATCACGATTTATAAATACTATAATAGTGCCTTAATTTACTTTTCCACACAATATGGTAGGTTTAAAATTCTGTTTTGGAATCACATCTACTCCATGCCCACCCAAAATCAAAGACAAAAGCAAATGATCATCCTTTACATCCTCCCCAAATTTCCGAAATTTGGTAAGTTACAAATACCTAAACCTCAAGAAGTTACTTGGATGATGACAGGGAGCTCTGAAGATATATCTGCCTGTAACTTAAGGACCAAGTGTGGATGTAAACCGAGACAGACAACGATAGTATCGTCTATATTCCACCGCATTTTCTTAAGAGCTTTGATCAGATTCCCCTAAATAGTTCATGCATGTCTGTGTGTGCCGACATAGGCTTTTATCTGGGATGGGTCGGATGAAAATAATCAGAGCTGCATCTATCTGGAAAATACACCAATCTGGTTTATTACTGTGAAAGCAGATCTGCAAAACCCACAGGTCAAAAGAAGGGCTGAGGTCTTTCCCGATAGAGCATCTTAATCAAACACCTACAGGGTAGGCTAGTGTGATGAGCTCCGGTTCCTCCACAGTGAGCTGCTAGGAGGTGGATGACAGGACGCCGGGAGGCTCACGTAGGTCTCCATCCTTTCTCCCCCACCCTCACCCCATCCTTCCTTTCACACACGTACAAACTCCCTCTCCCATCACATTCCAGGTCCAGGTGCCCCAGGAGGCAGTTTTCTAGGGTCGTCTGCCTGGCACCTTAAACGGGATCTAACGCACCCGGGCAGCCTGGGCCTGAATGCCAGCGCTGCCAGCCCCACGGCTCACCTCTAGCTTGTGGTTGATCTGGGACACAGTCTGGGCTTTGTGGCAAAGCTGTGCAAAGCAGGAGCTCAAGCTGGTCATCTTCTGTCGCCCCTCGTAAGTGATGTCCGCCTGATCCGGATCGATCTCGCCCAGAAGCAGATCCACATCCACGAAGGCCTTGTCGAACTCCTTCTCCAGCACCTCCAGCCACCGGAACATGGACACCCCGCCTGGGGAGACCCCCACGGGGCAGGAGGCGCCCCCTGGGCCACCGCCGGCTCCCGCCTGGCATGGGCCGCCCGCCGACATGGCGCCGTCCAGGCCCTCGCCGACTGCTGCTGGTCTTGGCTGCCCTCCCAGAGCGAGGGGAACTGCTGGCACCGCGACGACCCTCGCGCGCGCACTCACGCTCCGCGGGTGCCCTCCCGCAACCTCGAGCAGCCAACGCCGGCAGCACAGCCCCAGAGCCGCAGGAAGAGCGCGGCTGAAGCTGCCACAGCACACGGAAGACCGGCCCGCCTCCCGGCCCGCCCCGCCGCGCATGCGTAGCGCAGCGTAGAGCAAGCGCCACCCGGGAGGGACGAAATGGGCGGGGCAGGTTGAGACCTTAGCCAATGAAAAACCTCCGCTTCGACAAGCCTGTCAGCGGCCATATTAAGGACTGGCAAAAAACGCTGCTCGGCACCCTGACAAACCCGGGGACACCGCGTGTGCTTCCAAGTTGGAAAGGTCCGAGGGGAGGGAAGGGCGTCCACGTTGCAGAGAGGAACGACTTTCCAGTTTGACTTCACAGTGGGCGGGAGCCGGTCCAAAGTCGTCTGGGAAAGTTAGTGCAGTGGCGTCAGGGGCAGGGATGGGCGCGCGGATGAGCGTGAGCGTGCGCTGTAGCCACGTCTTCCCGTAGGCATTCCACTGCCTGCTTAGGTGGAGTGGGTGGTTACGCGGGCTGTTCTAGGTAAACCCGGCGGTGAAGTGTAGTCAGAAACTGCCTGAAGCTGCTCATGGAAGTGGCTGGTCAGGTTTTGCTGAATCGATGACCCTTTCTTGTGAGTGACAAGCCTGGGTTCAAGGCCTGCACCCTCAGGCTAGCTGTCCGACCTAGGAAGTGGTAACTTGGGAGCCTAGTTTCCAAAACTCACTTAGCAATAAGGTAAAATGCTTTGCATTAATATTTGACGCATGGTATTCATCTTACTACACCACAGATCACACATTTCTAAAGAAACTTGAAATAGTGTGCTTTTTTCAGAAACTAGTAGTGTTTCCGCGTAATTTTCATATGTTCATTAACATACTGAATACTCTTCCCCAGTTGAGGCATTGAGGACATAAATCCTAATAAAACAACCATAACTTTAATACCAATGTTATCTATATTTAGGAGCTCTTTGCCTTCTGCCTACCACCTCTAAACTCCACCTCCCCAACCCCACCCCGGTCTAGTGCAAGAATAGACAGTCTGGAAAGGACAAGAGAAAACAGTCTAATTAGAGTAGGCCTGGTAGGAATTGTCTCTCCAGCCTTGCCTACGGGAATATTTGGAGACTGAGCCCAGAATCTTCTGTGATCTGTTCTTGGGACAGACTCTACTAATTAATCATCAATCAAAGCCCATTGTGTGCTCATCAAAGCAATACCAATAAGAAGAAACCACAGATTTAGTTTGCACCGTGAATACTCCAATGTAGACTGGTTAGCATCAAGCCTTAAAGGTGTTTTGGCTTCAGCAAATTTAACTAAGTAAAACTAGCCATGGGGTCCTTCCCGTGAGCAGAAACTATCTCATAGAACCTTAGTACACAATAGTATAAATCTAGAATTTTCACGTTTCTTCACTCCTTTTCATAGTTGATTGCATTTTCATCTGCAATATTTGCAAGAACGTCAGTGCTATAGCTTCCAAACTCCAAGGCACTTTCTCTAGGTAGCAATGCATTTTTTTTTTTTTCAGGAACTTGAAATAAATGAAAAATTACTGTGTGGGAGTGGAGAAAGACATAAAACCACAATGATTATAGCTCTTAGTGATTAAAAACACTATGTGATAGAATTTTTTTTCTTTGATCCTCACAAAATCTTGGGAGGTAGGTTAATCACTCTTTTATAGATACATCATAGAGAATTTAAGTATTTCAGTAAAGCCACACAGGTAGAAAGCTTATTGAGACAAAATTTCAATGTGGTTGTCTTTCTCATCAGTCTTTGGTATTAGCAACAGAATACAGAATAATAAGGAATCCATTTTATGTTACTAGTGTAATAAATTGGCAGGTCTGCCTTAAAAGCTTTTTCAAACAAAATATCCCAAATATAAGCCATATACAAACATACTGAAATAAAAAGAAATATTAACACAAAGTACTCGTAATTCCTTTTGTATTATAACTTCCTTTATATAGATCACATGCATACAATATTTTAAAAATTACTCAATTTGCTCCTTATATTATGGGTGACTCTGAACTGCATTTTAAGCGTTTATGTGACCAGCATTCTGGTGGCTGTTGAATACCCTTACCTTCAGCATTGTAGGACCCAGCTTCATTTCTTTTTGTTGCTGCCTTCACAGCCCTGTGTGTCTCAGAATAGTTTAATGTCATATTGTCCATTCTCATTATTATACTACATAGTAGCTGCTACATCCTAGGTGATGGCCTAGATGCTCTTGGTAGTAAGTGATTACTTTAAATGTGCATGAGGTGCCCCAATAGAACTTTTTGTCCACTTTGATTTGGAGTTTTGCAGTTCTGCAAGTCACAGCCGAACATTCAAGTAGAAAATATGCTCGACGTTCAAGTGCTGCCATCTGTTGTCAGTGCGCTCCATCTGCATTTGTGTCCTTGTCTGTTCCCGAATTTGGAATTATATGCCATTTCAGTACTTGTGAGATTTCTTTTCCCAAAGTTTAAAAAACGATTTTGACACTTCTGTTTTCCATTAGATTGGAAGAAACTTCTAAAAATACATAAATCGTGCTGAGTGATTTAAAACAACATAACTGAAATGAATCTGATTTTATTTTATCATTATTATTGTTGTTTTGAGACAGGGTCTCACTATGTATCTCTGGCTAGCCTGAAACTTGTTATATAGACCAGGCTGGCCTAAAACTTCTGGCAGTCCTCCTGTTGCTTTCTTCCCAGCTGCTGGATTTATAGAATGAACCACCACACTCAATTTGACAGTCTTATTGTAAATATTGTATTTATTATTTATTTATTTTTATTTTATGTGTATGAGTATTTTGCCTACATGTATATAAGTGCACCCGTGTCACGCTGGGTATTTCACCACCCAGCCAGTGTCCCAGATCTATGAGGCCTGAGTTCAGTGAGAGACCTTGCCTCAAAAAAATAAGTTGGAGAACAGAGGAAGATACTCAGGGTCAACTGCTAGCTTTACACATGCATGTGTAGACCGGTGCACCCCCCCCCACATACATATACCACACACACAGAGAGCAAACACAAACATATACACCACACACGCATGCATGCACGCACACACACACACACGTATGCACACATACATGAAATCTTTTTTAAATCTCAAGACCTGGACTATGGGAAAAATTCTACAGTTGTCTGTGAAATAACTTCAATAATTAAGATAGTCCAGTATTTACCTAGAAAATTCTATAAAAATTAGTCACTTTTCAAAACATGCCTTTTATACATACTCAGGGCATACCTAGATAGACTTTTATGTTGTCTCAGGGGTTAGAGATATATGTAAAATACACGTTAGTCTTTAAAATTAAAGGAATATTCTCTCCAACCTAAAAAGAAAGGATTATTTAATAATGCTTTGGCTTATTTATTATGTCCTGTGGCTTCAAGAATTATTTTCTCTATTCCATAGTTAAAACTTCCCAGATACTATATTTTGTTTGGTGTACCTAGACTTAAAAACAAAGCATGACAAAAACTTTTAAACCCCCGTTACTATATTTATATTCCTTTACACTATTACAGACTAACCCTAAGTTCTTTCTACTGTGGCCTGGGCCACATCCTTCACTGACCCTTTCCCACAGCTCTCATTATCTAAAACCATTGTTTATCAACAATGGCTATCACAGTTTACTGCTCATTGATTCTTCTTCTTTCATCCACTGTCAAGTTACTGTTTATTTCTCACCTTGTCAGCCTTCACGGATCAAACAGACTTCCCCTTATTAACCTCTGTCATTTATGTTTCTTACAGATTACCTCTATAAGCACCCCTCACAAACAGGTGCTTTCTAAATACCCTCCAACATTTTCTTTTATTTGCTTGTACCTTGATTAAAAAATACAAGAATGCTTCAACAGAATTTTTTGGGGGGACTTGCTTTGTAGCCCAGGCTAGCCTTGAATGCTTTATCCTTCTGCCTCAGTCCCCCGAGCACTGGAACTATAAGTATGTACCACCATGACCAGCTATCTTCCTTTTATAGGAGGAAAGAGAGAAGCTTAGGGTATTTTTTTTTCTGATTTACTTTAAACTTACACTTTGTTCAACATGCTTCAGAATAAACAATTGTTTGAAAGTATCGTGTGCACATTTTTTCATCCTTTAAATTTTTTTTTATTTGAGAAATCTGTGTTTTTCATTTTTGGAAAAGCTTTCTGTTTAGTGCTAAGCTAGTCAGCTCTATAGTCAGATCATGAGCTGATGATGCTCCCAGGCTAGAGAAAATTTTGATTAGTCAGTTTCTTTTCTGGAATTCAGTTTTCTATGAAAAGCAGGAAAGATGTTACTGATTATATTATTTCTAAGTTTTCTTCTCATGTTGATATCCAGTGAAACTAATAAAAACTCACCAACATGTCAAAACACAAAGTTAAAGCCTCCTTTTAACACAACAGGAATACTCATTTAAAAGGGATTCCTATATCCTGATATAATTTGCCTTCTGTGGGGATGGCTCCCAAAATATTACAAACAGGGCAGTATGTAAGTCCAGGATGCAGGTCAATTATTTTTGCCTTTCATTTTTGATAAACCAAGAAAGGTCAATATCCATGTTATAGAACTACACATTGGTGTTTCCTGCAGGGTGTTTTTTTTTTTTTTAAACAATGGCACTATTGACATTTGAACTGCAGAATTTCTTCTTATGTGTGATAGTCTGTCATTGTAGGGTATCGAGCTGCCATTACTGGCCATTACTCACTAGAGGCCATTAACACTGTCCCTTCCCTCTCCTCACATTTTTATGACAATCAGAAATGTTTTCACTTTCTTGGCTGCCCAGGGGGTCCATAGACATCATTCTTGATTTCATCCTAACTTAAATGGAAACTTTCACACAATGTCTGGAGCCGTCACAGTCCTGCAAATGAAGGAGGACAATGTCCTCAAATTCCTTGCAGCACCATTTTTGGTTTCCAGATAGAACAAAAGGAGAAGTGATGGTATCTATATCATAAATCTGAAGAGGACTTGGAAAAATCTGCACTGGCTTATGCCATTGTCGAGATTGAAAACCCTGCTCATATTAGCATCATTTGATCTAGGATTTCCAACCAATGGGAGTGTTGAAGTTTGCTGCTTCCACTGGAACCACTCCATTTGCTGGCAACTTCACTCCTGGGACCTTCACTAACCAGATCCAAGCAGCCTTCCAGGAGCCACATCTGGTGGTGTCTGATCCCAGGACTGACCAGCAACTTTTCACAGAAGTGTTGTGTGTTAACCTGCCTAATAACCAGTCTGTGTACGTAGGTTCTCCTTTGAATTATGTGGACATTGCCATTCCATTTAATAAGTGAGCTCCCTCAGGGGAGCTGGTATGGTGGATGGTGGCCTGGGAAATTCTGAGCATGCATGCGAGTACCCATCGGAGGTCATGCCTGATTTCTACTTCTACAGAGATCCTGAAGAGTTTGAGAAGGAAGGGCAAGCTGCTGTTGACCAAGGAGAAATGTCAGGGAAAATGGGCTACAACAGCTCCTGCTGTTCACTGCTGTTCAGCCTGAGCTGGCAGACTGGTCTGAAGGTGCCTTCTATGCCTATCCATCAGTTCCCAGCTGAAAACTAGCGCCCAGCCAGTCACTGAGGATTGGTCTGCAGCTCCCACTGCTTAGGTCACTGAATGGGTTGGAACAACTACCGATTGGTAAGCTATTCTGCAGATGCTTAAGCAAAATGGAAGGAAGGTCAATGGGAAATAAACAGTTTATTTAAAGAATATTTTCAGTGGAGCGGGAGAATAAAGACAAAGAGAGAACCCTGGTTTGAGAAGCTGAACCAAGAACCTAACCCAGCCCAAATTCAAATTCAATGAATATTCCTTGAGATTATGTTGATCAATGAAGTCTAGATTCTGGGCTGCATATTGAACGGAGTTGTTGGGTCAGTCATTGTGTTTCCATACTCAAGAAAGACATCATGTTCCTGCATTCAGCAGCTCCTTCCCCAAGGAAACTGAGTAAAAATATCAGATAAGGTACCGTGGATCCTTTGATGTAAAGAAATGCATGCCTTATACTGGGTCTTGGAGACACAAGCTCAAGAATCAGAAGCCTGAACCTTATGTACATAGAGCTCTTTGATCAACATGTGGAAGCTCCAAACACCAGCAGAAAGGAGCTGAGAAATGATGCCAGCTCTTGTTCCTGTTTCTTTTTTCTTTTTTTGAAGACAGGTCTTTCTATGTAGAACATTCTGGCCTTGAAGTCACAATTCTCCCGCCTCAGTCTCCTGAGTGCTGTGATTGTAGGCATGCCCCACCATGTCAGGTCTGTGGCTATTTTCCTAAATATTCAAAGGAGATGTTAACCAGACAAGATACTAGAAAACATGAAAGTCTATCAAGTAGCTTATTATAAATTCATCTTTTTAGCAATACACAAACACACAAAATATTCCATGAGTATTTCTCTTGTCTTTTCAAAATCTAGGCATAGAAAAAGCACTACAAATACAATGTTTAACTTCTGGATAGCATTAAAGGTGTTTTTTCCCCTTATTGCTATCTTTCTTTCTTAAAAAAAAATTGTATTACATACTATTTATTTTGTGTGTGTGTGTATGTATGTACGTAAGTGTGTGGCATGTATATATGTATATGTGTGTATGTATGTAAATGTAGAGGTCAGAGGACAAGTTTTGAGAGTCAGTTCTCTCTCATGGGTCCCAGGGATTGAATACAGGTCATCAGGATTGGCAACCAGTGCCTTTACCCACTGAGCCATCTCATTAATTTGCTTCCCTCATTTTTCTCTTTCCTTCTGAACTTTTTAATTTTTTTTTTAAGTTTTTTTGAGACAGGGTCTCCTTGTAGCCCCAGCTGGCCTGGAACTCACTATGTAGACGGGGTTGGCCGTGAAGCTCTGGGATTAAAGACATGCACTAGCATGCCCGGCCCCTGCTTCTAAACTTGTTAAAATATTTTATTAGGTATCACTTTGATATTGGAGAATTAAAAAAAAAAACCTAAAAATTAATTCTTAGATAAAATTTAAAAGGATGTTGAAAAAATATTGACCGAAAAAATACAAAACAAAAACAAAAACAAAAAACCTTTAAAAAAAATCACTTTGCCTCTGATAAAGGGGGAAAAAAATCAAGTAAAACAGAAAAATCATCAGGAAAGAGGAGTATAAAGTCTGTTGTGGAAAAGCACGCAGGTACCAAAGCACACAGGAAATCAATTGAATTGATTATTAGATCAAAGAAACTGACTTCAAGTGGTGATTGTAGCAGAGGACAGCGTCTGAAGGGACATTGGAGACACTTTTCAGAAAACATTCAAAGGGTTGCTTTGGAGCAATCTGTTGAGGCTCACCAGCATGAGAAGATTTAGCTCTTTCACTTGTGAGGTTCTGTGTACAATCTTTTCCTTAAAATGTTTTCCAAGGCCTCAGCAGGGATGCCTGTGCTAGACAAAAACCACAGCAAAGACACTCCTCACAACTGACCTTCCCTTCCACACTCCTGAGATTTCACAATCAACAAATTCCTCTGAAGAAAACAGAGCCCCTTTGTGTCAAGTAGGTAAAAATGATGGACTCATGATAGTGTTTTGTTTTTAATGGAGTTAGCAATTTTTTTGAGTTACAAAGATATTTTTCCAAAATATTATATTTGGGTGAATTACTGCTAGATAAAGGCAACATCTTATCTGTGGCTCTAAATATCTCTCGCTGAAGCCCATTCTTTCACCTAGCAATAAAATGTCATCTAAACTGTCACAAGTAGAAAGCCTATTTTCCCTTAATAGTTAATGTGAGAAGAAAACACCTGTCTGGTTAGGCCCTACAAAAATGGTTTTAATATAGGGTCAAAGAAAATTCAAAGGTTTTATGACCCACTATAAAACGGCTCTTTGTCTTTTCCCACTAATTCCCTAGTGTCACATTTAACAAAACAAGGAAACTACAGATAATAGAGGTGTTTGCAGATTAGCTCGGCAAGCCATAAATAACAGAGGGTTTTGCTCACCTACAGATATTAAGGCAGCTTATCAATGTTTAAGCCCTTCCTCTTTGTAATGATTGCTAGCATTTTAACCCAGACAAATGGAGAATTTTTTTTCTTTCCTGTCCTCTTCCATTGACAGAGTACACATTCATAAGATTCTATTATCAGAGTTCTTGGTATAAAGAGTGAGACATCACCTCAACAGTTGCCTGCTACCAGCAAGCCTCTGTTTTGGAAGATGCACCTGCTTTGTGCTTTCCTTGTGTGGCTCTCTCTTAGCGATGGCCTAAGTCCTAACTGTCCAGGACGATGCAGCTGTGATTCCATGCAGTCGGTTCAATGCTACAGGCTCATGGAGGTGCCATCAGGCATTCCTTCCACCACCAAGAGGCTCTACATTAGCCACAGCAGAATCCAACACCTCCAGGTAACCATGTCATTCTCCATTTGAGTTGCTACCATTTTGTAGCAAAGTATGGAATGAGTGTGGGGATTTTAAACTTGGCTTAAATAATCCTAACTGAAAAGGACCTGACCTCCAGTCAGGTTGGTTGTACTACCTACTTGCTAGGCATTAATGCTATAAGCCTCAGATAATTCTATTTAGGGAAATATCCACACCCACCCTGTCCTGAAAGTCAGAATTGAAATTAATATTTTTATTCAACAAGTTTTACTCAATAATTTTAAAAACTATTTTGTTGCAAAGCACAAGTGAAAAGTGGGCTCTTTCTTAACGGAAAAAAAAAGAAAGAAAGAAAAGAGCACATTGACCAGCATTAAGAATAAATCTTTTCAAGGGAAAGGGTTTCATTTTATGTCAAGATGAACTGGCAGATCAAAATAATTCATACAAACCCACGATAGGTGCCATGCCTTTGTGAAATACTTGCCTTGTCAAGTTACTTGCAGTTCTCACAATGTGGTTTGAAATTTGGCTTTTATTTTCATGCTAACATACCCAGAAGACACTGGAAAGACCGCTGTAGATTTGCCTGACTTTTACTTAAAAGAAACTTTATTTTTGGTCATTGGTGCTTTGGAAGACATCAAGTGACAAGGGTTCTCACTAAGTAAAGACATAACCATCTTAAACAAGCTGCTAAAATATATCTCTGCTTCATTTTTTACCTTATGAAGTAAGAAGCCGGGATCTGATAAGTGATGTAGGCCTCTTCTAGAGAGAAAAGTCTATGGCACTCTGATTTTCATTCAATATTTGCTGCTCCTGGCTCAGCGATCCAAACTCCAAGGTAAGGAAATAGCTTTCTGAGAGCTTGGTGCAGAGAGGCTTTATTAGATACAGGTATCTAACCTCCAAATAGAGGCACCCACACCCTTTCATTTGGTTAAGAAATTTTCATGTGGGTGTCTGCGTTTAACATAATTGGCATGGTATTCCTATCCAGGCTCAGCACAACCCTCTCCATCTGTTTGCATTCACCTATTACTCTAGTAGTGCCTAATACTAGAGAGTAAGTCTGACCCTGTATGTTGGATCTAAACATTTAAGCAAGAACCCTGGTTAAAGGGTAAGACATTTAAGTGTTTGTTCAGAGACCTGAGCTGTCCATGGAGTCTGGTAATAATCCTATTCTGCCTCCTATGACACCTCTCATCACATTCAGTTATTGAGTGAGTCAACTTACCACTAGTTTAGGCTTACTGAGCAGTAGTTTTGCCTCTTTTCTGACTTTAACTCTGTTGATAGTTTCTGGGAAGGACAGTTCACATCAAAAAGATTAATGAAGACAGAATTGTTTTGGTGAAGAAATGAAAAGCTCTGAGCAATAATTTTTTTTTAATGCTTGGACTTTGTATGACCACATTTCACTTGTAATTGGTGAATACAATGTATATGTATTTAGTTTGGACTTAACAAAATTGGGTGCCTATATTTAAAGAAAAAAATATCTTAAAGTGTATCTTTAGATTAATAGTAGCAAAAACTGTATATGATCTAGTTGTTAATATGTTTTGTTATAAGCAACAATTTAAAGTGTTTTACTACTTGCTTATGTATATTCAACCATGTTTGGGGCTGTGAATATCATGTCTGAGGTTCAGGATAAAAGACTGAGAGTTCTACTTCTGCCCATAAGAAGGATTTTATTGATCAACTTTGTCTGTAAAAGTACCTACTCCCTTGAGGGTCGTGTTATGGACTGTCACAGTTCTCCTTTTCCTTTCCCTACTTTATCCTATGCATCTTCTCTCTTCCTTACTACCTCATAGTCTTCCTGTCTATCCTCAGTCCTGCATTTTCTTGGGTATCTTTCGTGTCTATGTGGATGGCTACTCTAATATTCTAGTCTCACACTTCCTTAACTCAAAATGTATCTGCCTTCATTTCCCCAGCCATTTTGGTTTTATCACTAGGTTATACAAAAATCACGTATCATTTCTTCTGTTATTACCTTGAACTTCTCCACTCAGAAAACCTTGAATTCTGCGTTTTTCAGCCACTCCCTCAGTTTACAGTTATCTCTGAGTTTACACTTGTTGAGACTTCTTGCCCTAAATTTACACATGTTCTCCCAGATAATTGGTTTTTTTCTTAGCTCCCTTCTTTCCCTATTGCTTCCTCCACACCACCTACCCAGCAAGGCCTCAGTCTTAAATGAGAGTTCTTCTAATTTTCTTTTGTTTCTCCTATACCTAAACAGATGGGTGCTGCTGGAGAGGATCACACAGCCAGATGGTTTGGAACCACCACAAATGTGAGGTCTCCATCAGCATTTGTCTATCTTTTTTTTTATTTTCTTGATCAGACTCTCCCCACACTCCCTCATCAGGCTCTCCCCACACCCCCTCACCAGGCTCTCCCCACACTCCCTTACCGTCTTCCACAGCTCCAGGTTTGGGTTGCCTAATCAGTGCTGCTGCCTCATTCTCAGCAGATCATTGGTTTTGCATTGTGTTGAGAAATCAGTAAAACTAGCTCTTTCTCCATTCCCACTCTCTGTGTGCTGGCACTGCATCCTTCCCCCCTCCACCAGACCTTGCTCTATCATTCTCCATGCCCATCTTCAGTAGCTGTTTCCTCCCTTGCTCTTCATTCTAACCTATACATAGGCCCCTCTTGTTACTATAAAGTTCTCTTAATTCTGTCCTTCCTCTCCCTACTACTTCCTTTTATTTTCAAGACTCAGTCCCCGTCTGTACTTCTTTACCTCTTTATTCTATAATTTACTGCTACATGGCTTCTACCTATTCCATAGAGTTAAATTCTTCTCTCTAAAGCCTGGCTACTCACTTCCATTCCCCAGAAATTCTTACTCTCTTGCCCTTTGTAATGCCATATACACACACCTCTGTATTTTGTCCTTTTTGTTCATTTTTCCCTCCAATGTCTCCCCACATCCCTCCTCACCATAAGCCATTCCTTTTCTTACTAAACTGTCTCCTATGTAACCTCGGTGTATCTAAGTGATGGTGGCTCCTCTCACTAAATCTCTAATACAGACCTTTCCCCCATGTTCAGATTTATTCAGCTATCCATTGGGCTTTTGCACTTAGACAGCTAAGAAGGATCTCGAAACAATGTGCCTCAAACTGAATTCAATCTTTCCTCTACACTTACAGTCTTCTGTGACTGGCTTCTTTCATGTAGCATAATGTCCTCAAGGTTCATCCATGTTGTAGCTTGTGTCTGAATTTCCTTCATGCTAAAGGCTAACTGGATTTCATTGCATGTATATACCATAGGTTGTTTATTTACAGTCATTGGACATTTGATTGTTTCCTCTTTTTTGCTTATTGTGAGTGATGCTGTTATGAATATTTGTATTTTGGTATATAAGTTTTTGTGTGGACCTAGATTGTCACTTCTCTCGGGACTCTGCCTAGGAGTAGATTATTACACAATATGGGAACTCAACCACCATTTGGAGAAACTGTCAGACAATCTTCCAGAGTGGCTGCATGCCTGTATTACTGTACCAATATTTGACAGTTCTAGCTTCTCTCTGTCCTCACCAACATTTCTTATCTTTTGTCTGTGTGTTTTGTTTGTTTGTTTGTTTGCTTGATCGCAGCTATCCCAGTGGATTTCAGGTAGCGGATCATTGCAGTTTTGACTTGTACTTCCACTTTCCCAGTGGCTAATGACACTGAAAATCTTTTCATTTGCTTGTTGGTCATTTCTGTATTGTTTTGGAGAAGTGTGCATGTAAATCCTTCACACATTTTTAATTGGGTTACATGTCTTTTAATTATTGAGTTGAAAGCATTCTTCAGATATTCCAGATACAAGTCTCAGAGATAGTACTTAAAATTTTTTTTCTCCTAATCTGTGGGCTGTCTTTTCATTTTCTTGGCTGTGTCATTTCAACACACAGAAGTTTTTAGCTTTGAATGAATCCAATTTATCCATGATCTGATAGGTCTGAGATCCACTTTCAGTTAGTATTTATGTATAAGAAAGGTGCCATCCTCATTCTTTTGTATTCTTGATCTTTTTCTAATGCTATTCACAGACTCATATTTACTCTCAGGGCATGATGAAGTACTGAACTGTATTGAATGAAAGGCATGGAAAACTGTCATGCCAAAATATCAAGTGGCCACTATGTTAGGTAACCAAATCCACACCTGGTTTGACGGGTACAGGTTCAGTTCAGTTCTTTGTGTCCACAGGTGAAAAAACATAGATAGATTCACCTCTCTACTGCCATTCAAGCTTCTACAAGCCCAGGTGATACATTCGCTTCTAAGGCAGAGGTCAAATATGAATGTAGGTGTGGTAGTCAATTAAAATCATTCTACTTTATATCCTTTTTTTTTGAGATGCAAGAAAAGTTTTATCCAACTTTAACTGGGTAACTGAACAGTGGGATTATAGGTTATTTTTATTCTCTTTCCATATTTCCCTAGAGTTTAAGACAGTTTGTAGAGAACAAATGTTGTTTTCATAATCATAAAAACATCCAAGATTATTTTAGAGACTACTCTCTGGTTGGTCCATATGGGTCAGAGGCCATCTCTTTGTGAAGTTGGCAGTTTTGTCAAACATTCAAACTTTAAAGAGCCCAAGAAGGGTGTGTTGTGGCCCTCTAACATTTGGAGCAGAGCCCGCTCCAGATTGAACTGGAAGTGAAGTTTTTCATGGGGAAGCAAGCAGGAGTAACCGTGTGCTGCAAGCGACATCACTTGCTTGGTTTTATTAAGAAACACTGAATAAGCTGCCAGCTGCTCCGAGGTTAGTTCTAGGGCATAAGCATCTCTTTCTACATTTTGTGAGCACATCATTGGTGAGGCCATGAAATTGGAAAATCTGGTCTGGCAAATTCATTTTCCCATTGTCAGATCAGCAAACCAACCTAAAAAGTTGAAATTCAGAACACGTCCTCTTCACTGTGTCACCAGAACTCTGTACTCTCCAGCTAATTGCATGCTATAGCAGTAAGGTTAATAAAAATGTGTGGAATATTATAAATCTGTGCTGGCATCCCGACTTTTCCGCTTACTGGCAGCATGTACTTTGGAAGGTTAATTTCAATTTCTTAAGCCTTGCTTTTCTTCTCCAAAGAGGCAAGAATGTTACCTATGCGTAAGGATCTGTAAAGATTAAACAATAAATTCTTAGAAAATAGTGACCATTTTAAGAGTTGAAACTCAGATCTTCACTTTTTAAAAAATTCCTTGGTAATTTCATACATGTATATCATGTATTTGGACCATAATCACCAGGTACTCTGTCTATCCAACTCTTCCCAGGCCCTCCTTCACATTTCCCTCCCAAATTAGGTCTTGAACTTTTATTATGATTGCTATTATCAGTGTGAGACTTTTAAAAGTATTCTAAGCACTTTCACACACTGTTGGTTTGTGTGTATGAGTGTATTGCCTGCATGTGTGTTGGTGCACATATTGGTCAACTCTTATCACATGTTTTTCTGACCCAGGAAATTATTTTCTAGGCAGAAGTGCTTAAAAATTGCACAGTGATTCATGTATTAGAATGTTCTTTTGTTGCACTGTGGTATCCAGAAATTAAGCAATTTTAAATCTTTCATCAACCTGTGAAGAGTTTCTAATTCCAGAAAGCTGGATTACAAGGGAAAAACATTAAAAGTAAAAAGTTTGAATGTCATAGAGTCTGCTGTCACTTGGATATTCTTATTTGAGAAACATTTTAAAATTATGTTACAATTTGGAAAATAAGCCCATTTCCTATCTCCGATTTATACTTCACCAGTATATATTTTATACTACAGAAACAAATGTGTACATGTGTCCCCATAGTATATGTTGGCAGCTGCCTTGTGGTGTATATTGCTGCTGATATTTGGTATTTTCTTAATGATTCATCAGCTCTACTAATTAACTGGAAGCAACTTTATTCTTGCTGATTCTGACAAAAAGACTAAGAAAATGTTTTCCATGCTTTATAAAGGAAAACAGCCAACTAATAGATTCAGTTAGGAATATGGAGTCTTTATGATTTAGGCCTCTCTCTATAAGTAGATATGAAAACTAATTGAAACTTTGACAATATACCTTGTCTAGCCCCCATATAGATCACCCATCCATGCTGTCTCTCAGAATCATCACAGAGTCAACAAGGTTTGTGGTCCCTTAGGGTAAGAAGTATCAGTAACACCAAGTTCTTTGTTTGAAGACTCAATACGCCAAGAAGTGGAGGTTTATATTGAATTATTTCTGGCTTTATGCAAAAAATAAACCTAGAAAACAGAATGCAGCATGGAGTAGGTATCTCTAAGTATTAGGCTGACCATTTACAATTTCTTGTGGCTGAAATTCACCACTGAAATGGGACACTCAGGAAGGATAATCTATAAAATATTTGCTTTTCTAAAATTGTGTGATTTCTGTCCAGATCGTGAATCCTTTTTGACACATATTAATTATAGGCCAAATCTGGTGGAAAATGGTATAGCTGAGGAAAGATTAGTTTTGGAGTTCATAGACTTTCTAGAACTTCTCTCACTTTTTAGGACCTAGTTTTTGTATCTAGAAGTTAATGTTGTCCATACCAAACTTGCAGTGTTATTAGGTTGATGGTAATATACAATAAAGCACATGACAGTGGTAAGTACTCAGCAAGTGCAAGAATAAGCTTGCTCATAATATTAGGACTAATTAATATGGCTAATGAATCATTCAGAAAGTACCAAATGTCAGCAGCAATGTACACCTCAAGGCAGCTGCCAACGTATACTATGGGGACACGTGTACACATTTGTTTCTTTAGGAATATTTTTCATTGGTGAAGTATAAATTGGTGATAGGAATCAGGTAGGCTTATTTTCCAAATTATAACACAATTGAAAATGTTTCTCAAGTAGGTATATTCAAGTGACAGCAGAATCCATAACATTCAAACTCTTTACTCTTAATGTTCTTTCCTTGTAACCTAAGTTTCGAGGATTAGACATGCTTCACAGTTTGGTGAAAGATTTATAAATTGCTCAATTTCTGGCTACCATAGTGCAACAAAAGAATATTCTAATGCATGAATCATTGTGCAATTTTGAAGTACTTTTGCCTAGAAAACAATTTCCTGGGTCAGAAAATATGTGATGAGTTGACCAATATTAAATATCTACCAACAGTATGAGAAAGTGCTTAGAATATTTTAATGTCTTACACTGATAATAGCAGTCATAATAAAAATTCAAGACCTAATTTGGCAAGGGGAAGTAGAGAAGGAGTCTGGAAAGAGTTAGAGGGATGGAGTGGAAATTATATTTATACATTATATACGTGTCTGAAATTACTAAAGAATGAAAAAAATTTCAAGACTCCAGTTTCAACTATTTTTCCCAAAGATAATTTTTTAAAGAACCTGAAGGGAAGTCTGAAGTATCATTTGTATTGTAATGATAATGTATATGTTTTTTTTCCACAAAATCTTGATTGATTTTCCTGCACCCCTGCTGTTATATTGTAGCTATCTTACTTCACTGGACTGTTCGCTCTGGAAGATTTTATTCTGCTGGCCAGTGGAACAGAGTCTGTAGAAAATGACACCTTCAAAACTCTGAGTATCTTAAAGACCTTAGAACTTTTGAAAAATAAGTTAAGACAAGTCCCCAGTGGCCTCCCAGCCAGTCTTGAAGTGTTAAAATTAAACGACAATTCAATACGTGCTCTACATGAATCAGATTTTGAAGGACTGAAGAGATTAAAAGTCCTTGAACTCAAAAACAACTTGATCTCTTCCCTGTCTCCCAGCATGCTATCCTCCCTCATCAGTTTGCAAAGTTTGATGGTGGATGGTAACAATATAGAGTCCGTAGCTGGACCACTGGCCCTTCCCCATCTGAAGCACATGAGCATGGAGAATAACAAACTGCGTCTTATTCCAGGAAACTTCTTTACTTTTCTGCAGTCTTTGCAGTTTCTCAGTTTCAGTGGTAACTTTCTTACTAAAATGCCTATGAATCTACCCAAGTCCTTGCTGTCTTTAAAGATGGAGAGAAACCAGCTCAAAGTGGTTAGGTTTCGAGATATGAAACACTTGGAGACTCTTTCCCATCTTTACCTGTCAGAGAACTTCCTGACCTCTATCGAAGGGGCACAGCAGCTTGCCAATTTAACCACTCTTGAAGTGTCCCAAAACCAGCTTCAAATGTTGCCTGTCAAACTGCCTGCAAGGCTACAAAAACTTGACTGTAGCAGTAACTTGATTCAGAGAGTTACAGCACAAGACTTCCAGGACCTCAGAGACCTGAAACATCTGTTTCTGGACAATAATGCAGTCAGCCTGTTCGAAGCCGGAGCCCTTCAGAAGTGTTCTCAGCTGTCCAACCTGGCTTTAGAGCAGAATCTGTTGCTGTCCATACCTCTGAGGTGAGTACTGTCATTTACTATAGCTCCCTGAAGCATTTTCCAAAGATTGGAACCCATCAGCATGATGCTCAAGCAGAATCAGTCAGAAAATGAAACAGGGCTCTAGGGATAGACGTTTTAAACTGTGGTTTAGACTCTCCAGTCTGCCAATGGATTCTTGAGTTAAATTTATCTTGCCTATGGAAAAAGATACTAACAAGCGGTATCTCTACTGACAAACAAAACAGAAGATGCTGGTTTCTAACTAGGCAGTATACATGACTGGCTGGGTGTGAGCAGCCATTAGCCAGGACGTCAGGAATAACTGAGGGGGAGATAGGCAAGATAGTTAGATATTTTTATTTTCAAAAGCATTGAATTCGTACTTACGGGAAAAATTTAAAAATCTATAATGCGATAATTTATTTGTAATCACTCATGGGGGCTCATTCTTCTCAGCACTGTGAGTACACCGGAGTTGGTCTTCTGTTTCTAGTTCCCGTCTGCTTTCTTTCCCTCTTTCCTCCTCTCGCCTTCTGTCCCTCCTTTTCCCTTTCGAAATTCCCCTGTTCCTTTTTCCTCTCTCTAACACTTCCTTTCCCACCACTTCCCACCCCCCTCTCCACCCCCAACTCACATCATAATTTCCCTTTCTATATATCTTTCTCTCCATAACAACTCACTGCAGGTATCCCTGTAACAACTCAGTCTATAATATATGTGTTTGCGGTAGTTGATCCTTCTTATTCAAACTTAGTGCAGGTGTTACATTTTACACTAGATAAATAAAAGTTAAGTGGAAGAATGAAGCATTTATATTCTGTTTTTATTTTGTTTTCTTTTGTTTTTTGGTATTTTGAGACAGGGTCTCACTTTGTAGCAGTGATTGGTCTCCAGCTTAGAGAAAGTCTCCTTCCTCTACCTCCTGAATGCTAGGGTTACAGGCATGATCCATCATGCCTGGCTAGTGCTCTATTTAAACAATTTTTATTACATTTATTTTATTATTTTACATTTGTGTGTGTGCGTGTGTATGTGTATGCTCATGCCATTTATCAAGGCTTGTATGTGGAGGTCAGAACAACTTGCTAGAGGTGGTTCTTTCCTTCTACTATGTGGGTCCCAGGGATCAATTTCAGGTTGTCCAGGCTTGATGGAAGATGTCTTTACCTGCTGCACAACTTTTCCCAAGTCAAGTTAGCTTTATAAAATATATTGAAAATAATTTGGAAATAAACTTGTTTTAATGTAGAAACATGCACATACAATGAATGTTCTGGACACTTGCCACGTGCTAAGCAATTTACCAGGTATTTGGTACAGATGTAAAAGCTTGGTACAGAGTTAATTTGGTACAGAGTTAAAGCTTGCTGTTCTGTACAGCTTAAATTCTAGCAGGTGAAGACTGACAATATACATAGGTAAAGTATAAAATAAGTAGATTACATTATGTCTTATAAACAACAACAACAAAACGGCACAAATACCAGATTCAGACGTGTCGAAGGTGAGGTATATGGTTTCAGTTTTAAATAGGGAAACCATAGTAAACCTTAGGGAAAGGTCAGGTTTAAACCAGGCATGATGGCATACACAATCCAAAAGCAATCCCAGCATTTTGGAGGTAAAGGCAGGAGGATCAGAAGTTCAAGGTCATCGTCAACTATACAGAGAGCCTGAAGTCAGCCTGTTCTATATGACAACCTTGCCTAAAATTGAAAACCAAAACCAAAACAAAATATTCAACCCAGGCCTCACTTAAAATCAATGATATCAGTATTTTCTAAAAGCTCAGGGGAGGAATTTAGCATGCGGTCCAGAGTTGAGAACAACTGGGTAAAAGCCAGTAATGTGAGATGGGACAGGGCTTTAAATAAGCAGCCCAACTGTGCATCCTCCGAAGAACCTGGCCAGGTATGAAGAAAAGGGTTCTTGAAATCTTTAAGAATTCCAGTACCTCTCCCTGTACAGCTTTTCTTTGTACTAGAAAGAGAATAATCCAGAAAAGCTTCTCTGTAGATTTCCTCCATAAAGAATGAAGAAAGCCTCAATAATATCAAGTCCTTACATTTAAATTTTTTAAAAAATTATGAGTTTTAAATAAGACAACTTTTTATTTGCATGCTTCTGATTTATACACAAAATCTACACTATAAAATTCAGTTTTTCATAAAAAATTGTAAGCTTGGGTAACCTGCCCCCATTACAAATGGGGTTTCTATAAATCACTTCATTTTCCTCTACATTTCATCAAGAAAATAAAAACATATGGTTTGGGATACACATATACTCAAACACATTCCATATTTATCTCAACATGCTAATTTTATAGGAAATAATGCCCTTTATTAAGTGCTTGTGAAAGCCAGCCATGAGCTTAGATGCAGTCCTCACACTCTGCTAGTCCATATGACAATCCTATGGATGCAGGAGGCAGGTCCACTCTTTTAGCTGTTACTTTGCGGACTAGAACACTAAGGCTTACAAGTCAAAATCACATCCTTAATAAATGGTGGGCTGAGGCATCAAACACAGTAGCCACTGCACGATCCTACCTCTGATTTCCTAGATCGTCCCAATACCCAGACCTAACTCTTTGCTGCTTCGTAGTTTACCATTCGGTCATTTAGTGAACAACTTAGTGAATCAGTTTGCCTCTTATTTATTGTCTATTTGAGTAATTCAAATCTAGAATAGCTCTCTACAACATAATTCAGTTAGCATTTTATCTAATATACTAATAATGCTGAATATACTAATATCTAGTATATAAATACCAAAACCTCAGTAATAATAATAAAGATTCTGAGAAAAAAGTGGGGATCCTTTTGTCTTTAGAGTCTAAGGCTTAAATATATATCACAGATATGTAGCGGTACCTTTTCTTTATGGCTATGCTAACAACATAAATATTTGATTAAATTATTGTATCATTTGTTTTAGCTTTTGTTCAATTTAAAGGCTTTTGTTTTCTTTTCTGTGAACATATAAAATCACTGACATGATTCAAAAGGTAAAACCACATGAACTCAACCACTCACCCTTAGTAACTATTTTTATTGATTTTGGGGTCATACACTTTTTCTGATAATAATTAAATATGTATATGTTATTCTTATTTCTCTTTTTCTTATACAAAGTAGTATTCTATATATACTATTCTGTTGCTGTTTCATTTTTAAAACATTATTTTGAAGATTTAATTATGTATATGTGTGTGTCTTTGTGGGGGTGTGTGCACATGAGTGCAGGGGCCCACAGAATCTAGAAGAGGGTTTGGATCCACTGGAGCTGGTGTTACAAGTATTTGTGAGCTACCCAACATGGGTGCTGGGAACTGAACTAGGTCCTCTGGAAGAGCAGCAAGGGCTCTTAACTACTAAGCCATCTCTCCAGACCTGGTATTTTTCTCTTTAATAATTCTTTCTAAAAATAATTTTGTGGTAATTCAGAGATGAGCCTTTTGCTTTTTTTAAATGTTACATGGTAGTTCTTTACTGATGAACTGGGTCATACCCAATCATTTGTTACTATAACCAATAAAATAAATGCCACATACACTCATAATTATAGGGTCATATCTTCAGTATATATGTCTATACATGGAATTATTGGTTAAAGAATAAATGTACATGTTACTTCACATTTTTGTTTTTCCCAGCACTGTGGTTTGAACCCCAGGCCTTGCATTCTAGACAAGAGCTCTACCACAGAGATACACCACATGCCATATTAATCTTGACTAAATTCTTCTTGCCAGAGCCTGTGTTGTTTTAAAGCCTACCAGGAAGTGTGAAAATGTCTTTTTCTCACAGCTTTACTCATAGAATGTATTGCAAGGTTTAGAGGTTTAGGAATTCTACCAGTCTGCCGACTGAGAAATGACATTGTTGTATGGTTTTGACATTCACTTCTGTTTTGAGTGAGGTTAAAGATTTAAGAGACCCTTTGATTTTTTTTTATGTGAACTTCCACTCATGCTTCCCCCTATTTTCCATTTTATTTTGAGATCTTCTTAAGGAACTTAGCTATTTAAGGAGATTAACTGTTTGTGATACATCGTGCAGACATTTGTCTATTGACTTTGCACATGCCTTTTGCCGCATGTGGTTTCTTTTTAAGGTGATTGATTTATCAGTATTCAATGGTTTCTAGATTTTTAGATGATAGAAAAGTTTTTTAGAGAATTAGTATTTTTTTTTTTTTGGTCTTTTTGAGATAGGGTCTCCCTGTAGCTCCAGCTGTCCTGGAACTCACTATGTAGACCAGGCTGGCCTTGAACTTACAGAGATCCACCTGCCTCTGCCTCCCGAGTGCTGGGATTAAAGGCATGTGCCACCACGCCCAGCTGAGAATTAGTATTTTTAATATTATTTGATAATATGTTTATAATCACTTAATTGCTCATTATATAATTTCTAAAATATTAGAATTAGTATTTTATTGCTTTTTGCTATTATATTAAAAATGTGACAAACATTTGTAAATAAATCTTTATTCACTTTTCATATTATTTCCTAGGTCAAGAGACATGACATTTAAATTTGCTATATATCACTATATTGTTTCTGAAATGGGACCAATTAGAGTTCTCCCAAGTCCTCACAGTATATACTAGGAAGCAGTAAGGCTTAAAGTTTAAAACCAAATCAGTTTTAATTTGATACATTAAACCATTTTTCATTTCTCTTCTATTTTTGTTTATGAAGAACAACTTTCTCATGTTCTGACATTTTTTACTCCTATTGTAAAGTATTGATTTACCAACTTAAAAATTGGGGACTGAGTGTTTTACGCTCAGTTTTTTTGGTGATCTTATTTGACACACAAAGATAAGAATTTTATTAAAAGAAGCCAGGTGTGGTGGCACACACCCTTAATCCTAGCACTCAAGAGGCAGAGGCAGGTGGATCTTCGTGAGTTCCAGGCTAGCCTGGTCAACATAGTGAGTTCCAGGCTAGATAGGGCTACATAGTGAGACTCTGTTTCAAAAACAACAAAAGAATCAGGGCTGGAGAGATGACTCAGCAGCACTGGCACCTCTTCCAGAACACCTGGGTTCCAGTTTGCAACATCCACATGGTGGCCAACACCTATCCTTAGCACCAGGCACACACTCATATACATAAAATAAAAAATTTTTACTCTAAAAAAACCCAAAAGTTTTATGAAAAGGAATCAGATGATTAAAAAGTAAAATCTATGAGACATCATTACAGTTCTATAAGACAACACAGAGTTTTGCTTATAAGTTGTCAAACTTGAGGAGGGATAGAACTATACAGAGAAAGCAGGTCTGCTGCCTGTTACCTTGGAGGTTGTAGAATGATGATCCTAGCTTCCTATCTCATGTTGTTTCTCAACTTTGCAGGCTCCCTAAGACCCTAGCCAGGCTGGACCTAAAGGGCAATGCCATCCAGGACATTGCTGAGAGGGAGCTCAAGGACCTCAAGCAACTTCAGGTCCTAAACCTGAGGAACAACAAGATCTCTGCCTTAGACCTCAAGGTGTTGGAGGGTCTGCCTCGCCTCAGGCACCTGTACCTGGATGGAAATCCCTGGAACTGCACCTGCAGCCTGCTAAGAGCCAGGGAGGTCCTGAAGGCCAAGGGCACAGATGTGAAAGGGGGACAGTGTGCAGCCCCAGCTGAACAACAAGGGGAAAGCTGGATGTCTTCCAAGAAGATCATGAGACAATGTGAACATCACTTACACCAGAATGAAAAAGGCAAAGAGACCAAAAAGAAGTTAAAACCAGAAGACTCATCCAGCATCAGACCCAGTGTGGATGACGATGATTATGATTATGAGATAGACTAGGGGATGAACCTTGCTTACTCTTTAGAAAGTGATTTTTAATGTTCAATCTCTTAAGCAGAGATACACTGTAATTTAGATATAAACTTCCTTTGTAAGTGGTTTTGGGTTTTTAAAGTTTTTAAAATGAAATGAGTGTTAAGTTGGAATGGTGGGGAAAAGTAGAAAGAAACAATAGAAAGATGTAAGGAATTTCCAAATTTTAAAACAATTTGTATTTTAGTCTGAAACTTAGGCAAATAATGTCAAATAAAATTATCATATCATCAACATTCTACAAACGAATGCTACAGAGAATTTCATTTTACCAACTAAGTGTTCACTTTTTTTATATGAAGCTTGTGCTAATAGCCTACACTCTAAACTTTTGACAATAAGCAATTAAAACAGACCAACTCCCTTAAGCATGAAAACTCACAGAACCAAAGAAGCTGAAGAGTCTTATAGGGACAGTGTGTTGGCTTCCTCTCACTATGACAAAATACCAGAGAGATAAACAACTAACAAGGAGAAAGGATTTATTTTGGCTCATGGTTTCTGAGGCTTCGGTGCATAGTTGCTTAGTCCTGTTGCTTGGTATAGTGGAGCAGACCTTGTTCATCTCACAGCAGCCAGGAGGCAAAGCACCAACTCTCTTAATATCTTTTAAGAGTGTACCCCCAGTAACCTAACTTGCTCCAACTAGGCTCCACTGCTTGAAGGTACCATCATTTCAACAGTGCCATGGGGAGGGGACCACACACATGGGACTTGGGGAGCCATTTCACATTCAAATATTCGAGGAGGTAGGGATCAGAACCATATTAAGGCCTCATGCAGAAGCATGCACTGGAGAAATCCTTAGACTCTTCAGAGTTCTCCTCTCTGCAGAATAGGATGCCTCCCACTATTTTGAGAGTTTGGGTCTTTCCCCTCAAGATTTCTATATTTGGGGGTGGGGGCCAGGGAAGGTCAATTGGCGTAGCTTGACTCATGTTTTCCTTTTGACTAGGGGACAGAAGGTTTTGTTTTACAATTACCCAAACCAAAAGAAAACCAGACAGGGAAGTGAAAACTGGTCTCTTATCATAGATGCTCCTAAAACGTGCTCTGAGTTATAGCAGTCAGTTTCCCTAGGTTAACCACACTCTCGCAGGGCCTTCCTTTTGATTAACTAGAGTCGCTTGTCTGTGAACAGGAGTATGACGGATGACAGACTAAACATTTCTATCAATCCATTGCTGGGTAAAACCTATTTGTAAATAAATTTGAAGCCCTATACGAAGTTAGTTTTTCTTTTCATTAGTAAGATTTATCTGTGCAGCACTTAAGAAAGTTTTTCCTGGAGAGATGGCTCTGTGGTCAAGCGCACTGACTGCTCTTGCAGAGGATCCAGGTTTACTTCCCAGCACCCACATGGCGGCTAACAACTGTCTGTAACTCCAGTTCCAAGGGAGCTGATGCCTTCTTCTGACCTCTGTGGACATTGTATGACATGGGTGCACTTACATACAGGCAGGCATGTCTCAACCTTTATCTGAGAAGCTTCTTTTTGCAGTATACGGTGATTAATACAGAGACCCCCAACCAATGTGCAGAGATTAAGAGACTACAAAGTACTCAGCTCTAAAGGGGGCATTTATAATACCTCTCCTCCCCACAAGGCTCAGGGATCATCATGGAAGAGGGGGAGGAAAGTGTTAAGAGTCAGAGGGAGTAGACATCTGCAGTGAAACAGGATTTGCTGAACGTGACAGTGAAGTTGCATGCAAGAGCTCACAGGATCTGGGACTGCATGCACAAGAATTGCCCAAGGTCAAGCCAATCAAAATACCAGCATAGATGAAGAAAGGGTACATGAAGTCCCATCTGAGGAGCTATTGACAATTGATGGCTCAGGGGAGGGAGAGTCAGTTTTCTTCATGTGTGCAGGCCCTGAGAGGCTAGTTATGCTCCAGTAGATGGTCCCATATCCATGTATGTATAGGCAACACTAAATGGATACCATTGGCATGAGAGAAGGGGGGGAGAGAGAGAGAGAGAGAGAGAGAGAGAGAGAGAGAGAGAGAGAGAGAGAATGAAGCTGGGAGGGAAGAGTAGTGGGGGATAGGGGAGGAATTTGAAGGGAGGGAATGAGGGGTGGATTTGATCAAAACACATTGTATGTATATTATATAAATATTAAATAGAATACCTTTTAAAATTAACAAGAAAAAACAGAAGGGTAAAATTATCAAATATCAAAATAAGGAAAAAATTTAACATTATGGAGAAGTAATATAAATATATTTCACCATAAAAGTAGAGTTTATGAATGGGCTGAGGGTGTAGTTCATTTGGTAATTGTGCATGAAGACATGGGTTTGACCCCCGCCCCAGCACTGTATACTGGCAAGGGTTAGGCTAACAGGATTTTCTTTTATAGAGGAGAAAAATGTAGGAAAACTATACAATATTAATGCATACTATAAGTACATTACACATTCATGAGTAAAAACTCTCAACAAACTAGGAATAAAAAAGAAACTTGGTCAATTTGATAAAAATATCTCCAAAAATCTACAATGAACATACTTTACAGTGAAAGTTAAAAGCTCTCCTTCTAAGATCAGGAAGAAGGAAAGAACACCCTCTCTCACTGTTCTTTTTTCAACAACACATTGGAAGTACTAGTTAATGCAATAAGACAAGAAATACAAGGGGGAAAATCTATACTGGTTGGGAAGGAGGAAATTGTGGATGAGAGGGTTTTGTATATAGGGAATCTGCAGGACATTTTTATTAGAATAGCCATTATAGCAAGATGTAGGATACAAGGTTAATATAGAAGGATAATCACTGTCTTGGCCATCAACAATCCACTGAGTGGAATCTGAGATTCATGACACATGCTGCTTACATTAGCACTCAAATGAAATCCTAAGTCTAACATTTTTATGCTCAATAGCTATATGAACAAAGCTGAAAAATTGGTGAAAGAAATTGAAGAAAAGGGGCTGGGACTGTGACTCAGTATGCAAGGCCATGGAATCGATTTCTGGCCCACCATCTCCTTCAAAAAATTATTCATCACAACAAATAATGCATACTTAAAAAAGAAATTAAAGAAGAATGAACTAAATAAATGGATGGCCAATGATTTTGTAAAGAAAGACTTAATAGTGTCAAGACTTGGGATTTTCTTAACTAGACCTATAGATTCAGTGTAATCCCAATCAAAATCTTAGCAATTTATTTTGTAGACATTGAAATTGCCTTCAAAACTAGACATATTCTTAGCATATGATCCAATAATACAGTTTTTGATCCAATATGATCCAATAATATAACTCTTTTGTTGTTATCCAAATCAGTTTGAATCATAAGTGCCATAATTTGAAAGTAACCAAGATGTCCTCTAGCTGGTTAATGGATAGATCTATTCAGACAATGGAATATTAGCACTGCAAAGAATTGAGTTATGGACTCATGAAAATAAACAAACTTTAATTCATACTATGTAAGAGAGAAGACAACATGAAAAGGCTGCAGTATGTGTAATTTCAGCTGTGTAACATTTTGTAAAAGGTGAAACTGTGAAAATAGTAAAAGGATTCATGGTTCCCAGGGTTTAGCAGGAAGGAAGGGCGAATAGATTGAGTATAGAGAATTTTTAGGATGGTGGAAGTGTTACGTATTATAATGCAATGGTAGAAATATGTCATTGTATAGTTTTCAAAACCCACAGAAAGTACATCATCAAGAATGAATCCTTAAGTAACCTTTGGGAGACAATGATGTGTCAATACATGTTAATCAACTGCTATAAATGTACCACTCCAGTCAAGGTATTGAAGCTGTGAGGGGAAGTGGTTACATGGGCACCCTTTGCACAAAATGTCTTATTTTTTTTCCCCTTTCTTTCAAGAAGTTTATTGAAGACATCAGCATGCCGAGTTTCTGTCTCCCTCCCTCCCTTGTGTTCCTGCATTCTTGCTTTCTTTATTGGTCTTTTTGAGACAGGGTTTCCCTGAAGCCCCAGCTGGCCTGCAATTTACTATGTAGACCAGGCTGGCCTTGATCTCACAGAGATTTGCCTCCTGAGTGCTGAGATCAAAGGCAATTGCCACCACATTTTGCTTTATTTTCTTTTTTTAAAGATTTTAAGTTTTCATTATCAAAGATATCATTATAAATATTAATTAAAACTTATAGTTTCACTTTGGGGGCTTGCACATTAGACATACTGTGTTTTAAATGATCTTTTTTTGCCTAATTTATTGATGTGTGTATGTGTATCTGTGTCTGTGTATTAGTTACTTTTCTGTTGCTGTGATAAAGCTCCATGACCAAGGTGCTTATAGAAGGAAGAGTGTATTTGGCTTATAGTTCCAGAGGGGTAAGAGTCCATCATGAGGGAAGGTATGGCAGCAGGCAGATGAAGCCAAAAGCTTGAGTGCTCACATATTCAGGCAGGCACAGCAAGCAGAGTGAGGCAGACTGGAAGTGGGCAAGCTAGATACTTTCAAAGCCAGCCTTCAGTGACATGCTTCCTCCAGCATGCCCACACCTCTAAAATGTTCCATGACCCTCTCCAAATAGTGCCACCAACTGACCCAGTGTGCAACTACTTGGATCCTATTCTCATTCAAACCACCACAGTGTGTATGTGTGGGTGGAAACATGGCAGGGCACATGTATGGAGGTCAAGAGGATAACTCTTAGGTGTTAGATCCCTCTTTCCATGGTGGGAATTGAACTCAAGTCATCAGGCCAGCTTGGCAAGAGCACTTACCTGTTAACTCATCTTGTTATCGCTTATTTGGCTTTTTTTTTTTTTTGAGACAAATTTTCATGTAACCCAGGATGACCACAAATTCCCTAGTTACCGAGGATGAACCTATACTGATTCTCCTGCCTCCACCTCCCAAGTGCGGGGGCTATTAAGGTGCATCACCACACTCAGCTAAATAACCTTCATTTATTTATTTATGCTAACTTTATTCCTCTTAGAACATGGCTTGGAAACCCAAGTGTATTATTTGAGTCAGTATTTTTTTTCTCAATATTGTCATCCTTGATGCTTCAAAATGAGATGGACCATGCTTCTTTATTTTTATTGAGAGGGGTTTTACCATTTAGTGAGGGGAAAAATCCGTTTTTAAGGCAATTTATAGTATTTCAACCATTAATTTACTCTAGAATAAATACTATACACTGAAGCTTTGATTGATTTTTTTC